ATGATGGCAAGGGCTTTGGTCTTTTTAACTAAATCTTTTTGGTAACATGTTCAATAAAAAGCTGAAGTCTTTAAAAAAAAATTAATACTAAGTGCTCTGAGGACTAGAATAGAGTGTGGTGACAAAATAGCCAGCTGTGGTGGAGAGGAGGAGCTCTTTAGAAAGGATGGTTAAGAAACTAAGAGACGTACCACCCACCTTTTACATTAAATTCCTGGAAACATGAAAGTTCACTGTAAGGTAGTAGGGTTTGAGCCCATTTCATTGGAGTCACAAAGGACTCAGCTAAGTTCTGTATTATTGCATACTAATAATAGCAAAATATGCAAATTGTCCAGGACTCTGTCACAGTAATGACCAAACAGCAGGCTGCAGGCTGCGTGGGGCAACAAGGCCCATAGGGGGTTAGTGAGGGACAACCAGATGATTGAACAGCAAGCTGTGTGGGGTGACCAAGCCAGCAGGGGGGTTAGTGAGGGATGACCAAATGACTGAACAGCAGGCTGCGTGGGGCGACCAGGCTGGCAGGAAGGGTAGTTAGGGGTGAACAGCTGGTGGGAGAGGGGAGGCAGTGAGGGGCCACCAGGCCAGCAGGGGGGGCACTTGGGGGTGACCAGGCCAGCAGGAGGAGAAGTTAGGGGCGATCAGACCAGCAAGCAGATGAGTAGTTAGGAGCCAGCTGTCCTGGATTGTGAGAGGGATGTCTGACTGCTGATTTAGGGCCTAAACTAGCAATTGGACATCCCCCTACGGATCCCAGGTTGGAGAGTGTGCAGGCTGATCTGAGGGGACCCCCTCCCACACACAAATTTTGTGCACTGGGACTCTAGTTAAAAAATAATAGCATAATAACCACTATTCAAAGAGGGCTTAGTAAGTACTAGGCTTTGTACTAGGCACTTTAAGTATAATCTCACTTAAACCATACAACCATGAGGAATAGGTTTTATTAGCTCCCATTCTACAGATGAAAAAACTGACACGCAGTAAGGTTCAATAAATTGAATTCACAAAGCCAAGAACATGCAGAGCCAGGATTAGAGCCCACATCTTTCAGACTCCAGAGACGACATATAACCAAAAGCTCCAGAGTGCAGCTATCACCAATCTTTACATTGGCCAGTCCACTCAGGACATTTTTATTGAGCGCCTATGATATAGCAGGCAGTGGGAACGCAGCAGTGAACAAGATCTCTGCTACCTTGGAACAAAAGCAGCAGCTCAAAACTGAGTGAGTGGAGAAATGTACCTGCCAGTGCATAAACATATAAACCTAGTGTCTATCCTTACTGTCTATCCACGGTCTCTCTGCCACCACCACCAAGGAAGGTTGTGTTTGTGTGTTGAGGGGGTGGAGGGGGTTAGGGGGGCAGCTGCCCTTTAGTAACTTCTTCCTCTTTAATTTGAATTTACTGGAATAAAAGCCATGTGTATGTAAACACAAAGGGAGAGTTCAAGCTATCATTCCTCCCCAAGTCTATCATTCCTCCAGGGAGGGTGACTCAGGGGCCCAAATCCTCAGCTTTCAGTATTTCCCACCAAGGTTGGAGGCATGATGGCCTGGCTGGCCCTCTAAAACTTTCCTGATTCCTCTAAGGTTTCACCATTGGTCCACGTCTCCTTCACAGAGGCTTTCCTCCTTTTCTCTTTTGCAGCCAGCGATGCGCTGAGCCCCCGAGGGCCTGGACCAAAGTGTATTCTCACCATAAGCCTCCGCAAGCCCACCCTCATGTCCCACCGACTCCCCTAGAACAAAGGAGGATTTCTCCAGCTCTTCCAACTTAGAGGAGTTTCCCAACGTTTCTGGCAGAAGGTTTGCCGAAGGAGCAGTTTGACTTGCAAAGTCTTCTCCCTGCAGGGGTGGGATAAAGGAAACTCGGGGATCATGAAAACGTTGCTGAAGTCGCTGAACCAGAGCTGACTCTGGGGGCTGGAGAAATCCTCCCTATCACGAGTGAGTCTGTTTTATTGCCTTTCTGGCTCTCCAGCTGGCTTCTCCTACTATGACTCATCTTTCAGAAAACAATCCTCTCCTCCCTCCCAGGAGCTCAGTGCCCCTTTGCCTGGATGCTATCAGTGAGAGAGCAGTTTTCTCAAATGATGGCACACATACACCCACACACACAAAAAAAGACTGAGAGGAGAGATATCTTTGACTGATTCTGGGAAGATTATGTTTTACAAAGAACCGCTTGGAAATCATATCTTTATCACAAATTCCACTACTGCCTCCTAATTAGCATAGGGTTTTTATTGCCTGGTCCTTATCTGGAATTCTTTGATGGCCCTCTGGGCGTCTTATATCCCCAGTATGATTCCTGGTGTCTCTGATGAGAGTTGTTACGTTGCTTGAATTCCTTGGGACGGAGGTGCTCAGGGCTTTGTGAGGCTGTTCAGTATTTCTAGATTATCCACTAATCACTGCTAAATAGCATTCACTGCCTCAAAACAGGAAGCAAAAGAGATACTATTCTGCCCACATCTCTAGGGCAGGATAGAGACCAGGTATAATCAGTGGACGTGTCTCATCTGGAGGGAAAACAAGGCATAGGCTGATAAATATCTGGGACATGATAAACCCAGAAGCACCTTCCTGGGCCGTCATTAATTTTTTAAAAAAATCTAGTAATCAATGACATATCGGAGAGATTTATGTTCCGTTGCAAATCAAGTTATTTTGAGCTGAGCAATGAGAACTCCTAAATTACAGTGGTCCAGAGTACACCTTCAGCTTATCAGTTATCAGCGGAAGTTTCAGGGACAGTGATTTTCAGAGGTGACAGGATGTCATACAGGAAGTAGATTCTACCGAGAGCCTAGCTCCTGTACATAAGTTTTTATTTTTAAAAACTTAGTTATTAAACAAACACTTATATTGCTTTACAACTACTTACTCATGCTCCTTTCTCTTCCTGCATTGAGTGTTCTACATGCTTAGCAGAGACCAGATAGGGTAAACTGAAAAATTTTGAGCAGCCCAGATTCCTGGCGTGGCTCTGGGCACTGCTGACCCCTCTGTTTGGGTTGACATTGTTCCTAAAAATTAATTAACTTCAGCCTCTGGACTCGGCTCAGGCCGGAGTGTCCTCTACCCTGACCTCATCTCTCCCTCACAACAACCCTGCTGGCGCCTGCTTTTCTGACTTGTGTGCTGAAGCCGCTCTTGTGCTGAAGCAGATGACACAGCTGATCTTTGTTGCTGATGCCTCAACTGCTTTTGACTCATACAAATGACAACCGCGTGCAATTCAACCTAATGCTGCCTACATTGTAAAGAAGAGGCATGGATGCTGGCACTTGTTAGGTAATTGGACATGGATCTTCCAAGGTAGTTGTCAGTCAATAGCAGTAGCTGCTTCGAAATTCAGTTGACCTTCTGAACGTCTTAATAGGGTACTATGAACCGAATATTAAGATTTTCCCCCATATATATATTTTTAGAGGGAAATGGAGCCAAAACCCGTTTGGCTCAGTGGATAGAGCATCTGCCTGCGGGCTGAAAGGTTCCAGGTAGATTCCGGTCAAGGGCATGTACATTGGTTGTGGTTGCGGGCACATTCGTGTGTGTGTGTGTGTGTGTGTGTGTGTGTGTGTGTGCAGGAGGCAGCTGATCGATGTCTCTCATAAATGTTTCTAACTCTCCCTCTCCTTTCCTCTCTGTACAAAATCAATTAAAAAAAAAAAAAAAGAGGGAAATGGGGCTGTCACTCTTAAGGAGCAGGCTGTGATTACTCATTCTTGATGAGAGCCGAAGGACCTCCAGACCAGGGGAGCCAGCAGCAGGAGCCCCGCAGGCTGGCCGCAGTTCTTGTAAACAGGCCCCAGGTCGCCCCCGCGGGGGCGGGAAATTCCACCTGGGGAAGGTCTAGGGACGGGCCGCTCATCCAGGCGGCGGGGTGAGGAAATCCCCACCAACCCGGTCCTGGAAACCGTTCCAGTGCCAAGTCCTTTGTCTAATGAGAACTCTGGTATCTCAGGGCTTGTGGGAGCACAGCTTGTACAATTTGGATTAAAATGGTCTAGAAAAAAAATTAAAACAAAAATAAAATGGTCTAGAAGCCACACGCAATCTACCCCGGAGCCACCGGAGCGCGAAGCCCCCCGGGTACCCGCCCGCCCGGGAGGCGCCGCCGCCTGCGGGCACCTGCCCCCTGCGGCCCCTTTAAGGGCGGGCGGCGGCCCACGTGACCCGTGACGCCAGAAGCAGGAAGTGTTTGAGGAAGTGGCGCTCGGCCGGCCGATGTAAATTCCCACCTTTTTAATGTCTCCGGGGTGGTGCCAGAGCCCCCCGTCTTTCCGCCCCAGCCCCCCGCAGCCCCCGCAGCCCCCGCCCCGGGTCCCCGCCGACAGGTGAGTCCTCGGGCGGGCGTGGGCCGCGGGGGGCTGGGGCCCCGTGACACCTGCCAAGCCCCGGCCCCCCTGCTCTGCCTGCACCTCACTGGAGTGTTTAAAAAGTCGGGGGTTCCGGGCGTGGCAGCCCGTCCCCGGTGCAGGTGGAGCTGGGAGGCCCCGAGAACAGCCCCCGCCGGGCGGTTCCAGGTGGCTGCCTCCCGGTGGGTGGCTGCGGGACGGAGCCGTGATTCACCGGGACGGCGTGAAGACACACGTGACCGCGGGGAATCCCAGGCAGATTCTGCCCCTGGGCCGAAGGGCAGGGCAGGGCAGGGCGCCCCTCGCTGGGCATCCCTTTCCGAGGTCATGGGCTGTGGGAGGCATCGTCTCCTCTGCATGACCTGCCTCCCTGCTTTGCTGACACCTCAGCGGAGGTGTGGGTGGGGGAAAGCGAGAAAGACAAAACTTTGTCAACCAAACCAAAATACACACCAGACTTGCATCCAGATCGAACACCAGCTAGCTCAGCGTTTTTCCTTCTCTTGCATGGAAAGGCCATGGTAGCTCTTACCTTCTCCATTTCCTTGAGTTCCATTTTTTTCCCTTCTGAACCATAACCTTTTGTCCCCCCACCCCAAAATTGCTTGCAGAGTTAGCACGGCATCGGTATGAGCTGGTCACCATCCCTGCCAACCCAGACATGTGGGGCCTGGGAAATGAAAGAGCGACTTGGGACAGGGGGATTTGGAAACGTCATCCGGTGGCACAATCAGGTAGGGGTTCTGTGCAGCGGGGAAGGGCCGTGGGCAGGCAGGGGTGGGGGCTGTGGAATAATATATATATTATTGATTTTTTACAGAGAGGAAGGGAGAGGGATAGAGAGCTAGAAATATCGACCAACTGCCTCATGCACACCCCCTACTGGGGATGTGCCCGCAACCAAGGTACATGCCCTTGACTGGATCAAACCTTGGCCCTTTCAGTCCGCAGGATGACACTCTGTCCACTGAGCCAAACCGGTTTCGGCTCTGTATGATCCTTTTTAAGCCCCTCAACCATTTTATGAGAGTTGTTAAAAATTAGAGAATACAACTCATAATTATAACTAAGCGGAGCTCATGTGACCTGCAACTTTTCCCCATTGGCCCCTGTCCACCCCTGACTATGAAATGCCCTTCTCCTTAGGAAGCCTCTAGTAACAGAAGTGGCAAATGACCTTTTGACCAAAGGTCTGAGGAGAGTGCCAGATAGTTAATATCAGGAAAGCTTAGTTACATTTTTGTTGTTGTTGTTGGAACCCAGTTTTAGGTAACCCCTGCAGTGCATATAACCCAATTTGGAGACCACTGCGCTAGGTAACTCTCACCAAAAAACTAAATTAGCTTCTTGATCCAAAATTGAGACCTAGCGAAGCCCTTGAAGGCACCTGCTTTTCAGTCAAGGGCTGCTGGGTCTTCACCCGAGGATATTTTTCCCAATGATTTCTAGAGAGTGGAAGGGAGGGAGGAGGGGGAGAGAGAGAGAAACATCAAGGTGAGAGAGACACATTGATTGGTTGCCTCCTGCATACACCCCTTCCTGAGCTTGGGGAACCTGCAACCAAGGTTTGTGCCTTTGGCCAGGAATCAAACCCTTCAGTCCACTGGCTGACGCTCTAACCACTGAGAAATACTGGCCATGCCATGAGCACCCTTTTGGACTGAAGGGATGGCAAATTGCATACCACTTGCCAGGAGCTTGGCTATAGCAAGTAGGGAAGAGTCATTGAGTCTGCTGGCTAGACAGTAACATTCTTATACCCAACTGGTAAACCAGGGTTCTAGCAAAGCCTATCCCTGATTGAGGGGGCCTCAGTAACACCACTGGCTCAAATTTATTCTGGTCAGAGCATAGCCAGGGGTCTAGCATTACAGCACAAGAGCCAGATCATTCTATAGCCCCATGTACCTGGGCTGGGGTGCTTTTAGACACTCCAGGGCTTTTAGAGTCTGGACTATGGCAAACATCTTGCTGCAGCTGAACTAGAGACATCTTGGTTCCCTTTAAAAGAGTTTTAGCCAATTGTCTGTTATCTCCAGCACAAAATGCCCTCTATTTGCTCCCTGGGTTTGGAAAGCTATTGTGAGATTCAATTTTCTTTCTGGCTTCATATATATGGGCCTAAGAATATGCGTGCGTGTGTGTGTGTGTGTGTGTGTGTGTGTGTGTGTGTGTATTACTCTTCTAGAATAACTATTTTTAAGATCCTTACCTTGTTAAAAACAAAAACAAAAACAAGAACAAAAAAACCACTTTAACTTGTTTTTTTCTTTTAAAAAGCCAACAGCCAAACTCCCCCCTCATCCTGCTGTTTCAGGCCCTTCCTCAGTCTGGCCTCCCTCTAGCAGTGTCTGACTCCTAGCATTCCTGGCCTTTGTTGGTTCCCAACAGGTTTGTCAGCTGAGCCCCCTCTGGGCCAAGCCTCCCTCTCCCGGACAGCTTTATGTGAATTCTACCCCTTCCTCCAGGGCCAGCCTTCTCCATAAAACCATCATAGACTATCTCCTCCATAAAACCACCGTAGACTCCTTCATTCTGCGGGAATTTTGAATTCCTTCGGCTCTACTCATTTGGCATGCCTCATAGAAGGCCTTTTTGTCTGTGTGTAGGAGTCTGTCTTTGAAGGCTCTAAGTTTCTGGTCAGCCAGGGCTCTTTCTGGCTTTGGGTTTCTTTCACTTCCCCATTCCAACTATCTTTATGTTATATATGTGTCAGGTACACAGAATCATTCATTTAGTCCGTCCGCAAATACTGTCTCTTATGGATACAGTGGTGATTAAATCCTGTTTGGTTTTTGATAAAGAGAACGAACCATTAATCAATAATTATAAGCGTAAGCTCCCAGCTATGGTAAGTCTATCATGGGATAGGGGCCAAGGGCCGTGAGTCCCAATACTAAGTATCAGGGGCGACTGTCCCAAGGAAGTGGCACCCAGCAGAGACCTGAGGGGCTGGCGAAGCTATTTGGGTAGAGAATGTGGGAAGAGAGATCCAGAGCCCCTGTGGAGGGTTGGTCATGGCAAGCAGGTGGGACTTAAAGGCCAGTGAGACTGGAAAGAAGGATGACAGGAAAACAGGTGCCAGGGAGGCTGAAGTGTAGAAGGTGAGAGCCAGGTACTGCTGAGGAGGTTTTGCTATGATTCAAAAAGCAACAGGAAGCTGTTGAAGATGGTCCACTCTGACTGCAGGGACCCACAGATTGCAGATTGGAAGGAGCCCACGCAGTGGTGTGCTGGGAAATCAGCTGTCCAAAAAAAAAAAGCACTGATTTCCGCAGAGTAACTAGTCCCATCATGGCTTATTTCAAGCCACTGACAGTTTGACGACCAGTTCTCACTGAATTCCTAAATGTTTAGCAATCAGCTCTGCGGAACTGGTACCAGGACGCCACTGGCACTACCTTTTCACGTGGGGATACCAGTTATGAGGTTTTTTTTGAGTAGTCCAGATGAGAGATTGGACAGGACTGATGGTGGTGGAGATGGAGAGAAGGGGGAAGATGTAAGATCTATTTTAGGAGTGAAATTGATAAGACGTGGTGGTGGAATAGAAAGTGGAGGGGCTGAGGGAGTGGGAGGAGTTGAGTGTTCACAAATTCTTAGTGATTTCTTGCTGATGAGCCTGGCTCAGTCCAGGAAGTTCTGCACCATCCTCCTGGGTTTTTCCTTAGTTGGAGAAATCTGTAGAGCTGCTTTAGGTGCTTAGGGTGGGGGGATTTTAGGGGGGCGGGCCCGCAGTTCTTGAATCAATGTTCAGGATCAGAAGATGAGCATGTGTTGTCTGCTGGGTATCCCTCTGTTCAGGACCTCTTAAAGAATTCAGCTGGGCTAGGGCAGTGTCAATTTGCTTAACTATAGTCAAGTATAATGATTATACTTAATATAATCATGCATATTTTCCTAATACTCTATGTGCTTTATCTTGCCTATAAAAGAGAGACTATTATTATTATTATTATTATTATTATTTTTTTTTTTTATCATGAGACATTGCATAAAAGAACTTAAGCATTGGTATTCTCAGTCAGATAAGTGATGTCTAATAATAGACCCATCGTTTATCGAGAACCTACTACTTGCCAGCATTGGGCAAGGTATTTGATTGTATTTTAGCTTTTTAAAATACATTTTTATTAATTTCAAAGGGGAACGGAGAGAGAGAGAAACATCAGCGATGAACAAGAATCATTGATTGGCTGCCTCTTACATGTCCCCTACTGGGGACCGAACCCACAACCTTAGCATGTGCCCTGACTAGGAATCAAACTGTGACCTCCGATTTCATAGGTGGACGCTCAACCACTGAGCCACATTGGCAGGTCTGGGCTTGGTATTTTACGTGCTTTATTTCCAGTCTGCACAGTAAACCTAGAAGGAAGTACTATTGTCTTTAATTGCAAGAGAAAATGGAACTATAGGCGAGAGGCTAAGCCTCTTATCCATAGTGGCTAAGCTAGTAAGTGGAGGATTTGGAATCTGAACCTACGACTGTTTTAGTCGCAGCCTCATGCTTTCTCCACTGTGGCTGCTCTACGGTGGGGCAATCCAAGTGGGGAAACCCCTAGGATATTACCAGTTCTCCACAATCAGTCTGAACCACTTCAAAGCACTAAGGGAAAAGGGAGGACAAAATAGATGCCTTCCTTGTTTAACAGAGAACTCTAAAAAGATTATTTCCTAGTGTGGAAGGGCAGTGTAACAATGACCACAGCCCTGAGACCTTGAGGTATTTTTTATTCTCTTACCAATTATGGGCCTTGACAATCCTTGCTGCGTGGTACTCCCTTACATCCTCTGCCCAAGGGTCAGTACAGCCTAGATAGGCTGAAAGTTTCAATAAGATCTTTGTTGCCAAAACCTATTTGGCTCTGTGGATAGAGCGTCAGCCTGTGGACTGAAAGGTCCCAGGTTCAATTCCGGTCAAGGGCATGTACCTTGGTTGCGGGCATGTCCTCAGTGGGTGGTGTGCATGAGGCAGCTGATCGATGTTTCTCTCTCATCGATATTTCTGTTTATCCCTCTCCCTTCCTCTCTGTGGAAAATCAATAAAATATATTAAAAAAGAAAAATCTTTGTTAAAAACAAAAGAAGAGGAAGAGGAGATGACCTGAGTGGCCTCAGCCTGCAGCATCGTGTGGGGAAAAAGGGGGGGGGGGGAAATACATGACTCATAGTCACACAACATTGGGTTCAAATCCTGGCTCTTACTGATAGCTTCATGACTTACGGCCTTCCTCTATAGTTTTTTTTTTTTTTTTTTTTTTTTTTTTTTTTTTTTTTTTTTTTTTTAGTACATTTTATTGTTCCCATCACCGTTTGTCTCCTCAATGCCCTCTTTCCCCATGGATTTTGAGGATGCTAAGATACTGATCCCCTTGGCTCTGGGCCAGACATGGTCAGCTCTCTGGAAGCACCTGGAAAAGTCCTAGGATGCCATATAAACATATTCTTTGTATACTCTGATGTGAAAGGATCTGTGTCTTGAGTTCCAAATGATGCTTGTGTGAGGATAAAATGAGGTCATATGTGCATTGCCTGTTATAAAGATAAAGATATAAAAGGTAAGTTATTATTAAACATCCCTTCTTTGAATTATTGTAGTACTGACTTTTACTTGTCCCCTCACTGGATAAGACTGAGCTCATTTCAGCTTACCTGTGTGTTTTGAAGTCTTAAAGACTTTAGTCAGTCAGTTCACTTTGAATTTTTTGAGCACTGACCTCAATTCCATCAC